ATCTCTGCTGGGTGTAACTGTCAATAAAGATGATATCGTTCAGTTTTTGGAGCTGCATCATGTGCAGAAGTTAGATGTTAGTATTCTTGATCTCAGTGATATTTCAATCTTCTGTTCAATTTGAGTTCACCTCACAACATCTGCTACTGGTGCTTCTAGGTTCCTTTCATTGCCACATACAGGAAGGAAGACTGCTTTAGCCTGTTGAAAGACCCTGGGCAACTTGAGAATGACTATGATAATCAGGATAATGACCAATCACCAAAATTGAAGTGGCACAAGGTAAGGAATTCAACATTTTCCCCATCCTCCTCTGGGTGAAGGCTAACACATTAAGAGCACAAGCAGGATTTTCTCCGCTGACTTAAACATTACTTCTCTGTAGGTGCTTTGGGCAATTCAGGACTTAGACAGGAAGTGGCTACTCCTGCAGAAGAGAAAAAGTGCTCTCCACTTATACTACGAGAAGCGATTTGACGAAGAATCTAGGCGCATTTATGATGAGACAAGACTTAATTTGAACCACCACCTTTTCAAGTCTATTATCAAGGCGCTGGAGGCTGCAGAATCAGAACGGGAGGTCGACGATGTTGATGCGAAGTTTAACCTGCATTTTCCTCCAGGTGAGGTAGGTGTGGATGAAGGGCAGTATAAGAGGCCTAAAAGAAGATCACAATACAGTATCTGTAACAAAGCTGGTCTATGGGAAGTTGCTAGCAAGTTTGGCCCTAGCGCGGAGCAGCTCGGCCTAACCTTGTCATTGTTAGCGATGGTGAGCTCGCTTTTTCTTATTGTATATCAACTTAATATAAAGCGAGGAGACTGAATTTTGTGGAAAAATTGACTATTTGACCATTAAGACTTAAGGTTACTCCGATATTGATTTTTTGGTCCACTCTCTCTCTTTGCTACAGAGCTCAGCTTTGGAGGATCCCAAGGAAACACCTGAAGAGATGGCTTCAAACTTTACATGTGCAATGTTTGAAACTCCACAAGCTGTTCTTAAAGGGGCCAGGCACATGGTATGGATGATGTTTTTATGTCCAATAGCTGAGTGCTGCTAAGCTCTGGGCGCCAGCTCCTTTGTCCATTGTACCTTAGGGCGGGGAGCTTTTAGCAACTCAAGATTGATTATGATCTCTATTGTAAGATGTGTTAGAACCTCACGTTTTCATTTCTTTTCCTTTGCTTTCAGGCTGCTGTTGAGATAAGCTGCGAGCCATATGTCAGAAAACACATCCGTGGTGTTTACATGGAGCATGCAGTCATATCCACCGCTCCAACTCCTGATGGGAATACAACAATAGATTCTTTTCATCAGTTTTATGGGGTAAAATGGCTGCGTGAAAAACCAATTAGTGAATTCAAAGATGCACAATGGCTTCTTATACAAAAGGCGGAAGAGGAGAAGCTTCTCCAAGTGACTGTCAAGCTTCCAGAAAAACGTATGGAGTTGTTGGTCAATGAATGCAAGGATCATTATTGTAGTGATGGGGTCAGTAAATCCGCCCAGTTATGGAATGAGCAAAGGCAATTAATAGTGCAGGATGCCCTTTTTGGGTTTCTTTTGCCCTCGATGGAGAAAGAAGCGAGATCATTGCTGACAAGCAAATCTAAGCGCTGGCTACTTTGGGAATATGGGCAAGGTTTGTGGAATAAAGTGTCTGTTGGCCCATATCAAAGAAAAGAAAGTGACCCCTCGTCTGATGATGATGCTGCTCCGAGGGTCATGGCATGCTGTTGGGGTCCTGGAAAGCCTGCAACAACGTTTGTTATGCTAGATTCCTCAGGGGAGGTGCTGGATGTGCTTTCTACTGGGTCACTTACATTGCGTTCACAAAATGTTGATGACGTACAAAGAAAGAAGAATGATCAACAACGAGTTCTCAGATTTATGATGGATCACCAACCACATGTGGTCATTCTAGGGGCTGTAAATTTGTCTTGTACACGGCTTAAGGAAGACATTTATGAGGTATGTGTCATCTTCTATCCTGTTGGTTGTTTAGGGGGTACCACTCAGATCTATTATTAGACGCATGTGAATTAGATGTAATTTCCGTCTTCATTTCTTAAGGACTAATATTGTTTTTCCTTAATTTGGAACTGCATCTTTTCCTTAACCTGTCTTATTGTTCATAGCAAGTGCTGTATCAAACATGCGGGGTTTTAGTGCTGCTTCCATGGATTGAGTTTCGGTTTCCTGTTTGTGGTCGATTTCTGCATCACTTCTTGAACAGTTCCCAGTCCCGTTGCTACTTCGAAGTTACTTGTGAAGATTCGTTTCTTGATGTCCATGTTTGCAAAAGAAGCTTGTGAATCTCGTTTTGCTAGATCATACTTCCAAATGCTTTAATTAGAATGAGCTGCTTGATTGTCTTCTTTCTGATGCTCATTTACTTTTTTGCTTGGAATCTCCAGATCATTTTTAAGATGGTGGAAGAAAATCCCAGAGATGTGGGACATGATATGGATGAATTAAGCATTGTCTACGGGGACGAATCTCTGGCACGCCTTTATGAAAACTCGCGGATTTCCTCTGATCAACTTCCTTCTCAGCCAGGTGAATACAGCTGACTGGCCACTCTTTTCATGGGTGTGTTTCTTTTAGCTTTTTGTTAAAGAAAGGGATAGTAAGAGTGAAGAAAAATTTATATCTGACTTTCCTGAAATGATCATGCATACCTATACTGTTTGTTTATCTTCTAATGGTAGATGGTTTAGATTCTAATAATTTGCAGATATTGCGGGAGTAGTATGTTCAATAAGGGGTTTCAACTTTTAACTTAACTTTTTTTAGTGTATGTTTAAGCTGAAACAAACTGACCCCATATCTCATTAATTAACTGAGACTCTAAATCTATTGTGGGGGATCAGGAATCGTGAAGAGAGCTGTTGCTCTTGGACGCCATCTCCAAAACCCGCTGGCAATGGTTGCGACTTTGTGTGGGCCTGAGAGGGAGATCCTGTCTTGGAAGCTCAACCCACTGGAGAGCTTCCTAACCCCGGATGAAAAGTACACTATGGTTGAACAAGTCTTGGTCGATGTCACTAGCCAGGTCGGTGTAGATATCAATCTCGCCATAAGCCACGAATGGTTGTTTGGCCCCTTGCAATTCATATCAGGTCTTGGCCCAAGAAAAGCTGCATCTCTTCAGAGGTCACTCGTAAGGGCCGGAGCAATCTTCACTAGGAAAGACTTTGTCACTACCCACAGCCTAGGGAAAAAAGTGTTCGTCAATGCAGTCGGTTTCTTGCGCGTCAGACGGAGCGGCCTAGCAGGCAGCAGCAGCCAGTTCATTGATTTGCTGGATGACACTCGGATTCATCCGGAATCTTATGGCCTCGCTCAGGAGATGGCGAAAGATATTTATGAAATGGACAATGGTGAAGCAAATGATGACGATGATCTTGAAATGGCGATAGAGCATGTTCGCGAGCATCCTACTCGGTTGAAAATCCTCAATCTCGATAAATATTTGAAAGATAAAAAGAGGGAGAACAAGAAGGAAACGTTTAGGGATATCAAAAGGGAACTGATACAAGGGTTTATGGATTGGCGGAAAAGGTACAAGGAGCCAACTCAGGAGGAAGAGTTCTACATGATTTCTGGGGAGACCGTGGAGACGCTCGCCGAGGGTAGAATTGTCCAAGCAACTGTCCGTAGGGTGCTACCTGGGAAGGCAATATGCGTGCTGGAGTCTGGGTTGACTGGAATTCTGACAAGGGAGGATTACGCTGATGATTACAGAGATATCCACGAGTTGTCAGAGAGGGTTCATGAGGGGGATGTGCTCACATGCAGGATAAAGGCTATTGATATGAATAGATACCAGGCAAATGTGGCTTGCAAAGAGAGTGAATTGAGGAACAATCGACTGTCCCAGCAGGTGCAAGATCTTGACCCGTATTACCATGAGGATACAGTTAATTTGCAGAGTGACCAGGACAAGGCTCGCAAAGAGAAGGAGCTCGCAAAGAAGCATTTCAAGCCGAGGATGATTGTCCACCCTAGGTTCCAGAATATAACTGCTGATGAAGCTATGGAGGTACATACATTTTAGCCCATAAGTTTTTGTCGTGGTAAGAATATATTCTGCAATGGATTCTAATATATTTTTCTTCTTTCTTCCGTGTAGTTCTTGTCTGACAAGGAGCCGGGGGAAAGCATTATACGCCCTAGTTCTCGTGGACCATCTTTCCTCACTCTGACACTGAAAGTGTACAATGGAGTTTATGCCCACAAAGACATAGTCGAAGGTGGCAAGGAGCTTAAGGACATCACCAGTTTACTCCGTATAGGGAAGACATTGAAGATCGGGGAGGACACCTTCGAGGATTTGGACGAGGTCTCTCTCTCTTTCACTTTCTCACGATTCATATTTTGATTCATCTCTGTTCCATTTTCTCATTAGTTTTTTGGTGCATGTTTATTTTGTTGCCTATAGGTAATCGATAGGTATGTTGATCCTCTTGTTGTTCACCTGAAGTCTATGCTAAACTACCGTAAATTCAGAAGGGGAACAAAGGCAGAGGTAGATGAACTCTTGAAGATCGAGAAATCAGAGTATCCCATGAGGATAGTCTATTCCTTCGGCATATCCCACGAGCATCCCGGCACGTTCATTCTAACTTACATCAGAAGCACAAATCCACATCACGAGTATGTGGGCTTGTACCCGAAGGGATTCAAGTTCCGCAAGAGGATGTTCGAGGACATTGATAGGCTCATCGCTTACTTCCAGAGGCATATAGACGATCAACTCCACGAATCAGGGCCGTCCATTCGATCGGTTGCTGCCATGGTTCCAATGCGTAGCCCAGCAGGTGGCGGGTCTTCTGGAGATGGCGGTGGCTGGGGTGGCAGTGGTTCGAACAATGACGGTGGTGGATGGAAAGGAGGAGACCGCTCTTCTGGTATTGCCCTGCATATCCCTTGTTTATTCCCGAGATCCCCCTACTTCTAGACTAACCATGTTTTCTACTATTGTCAGGACGGAATGATTATCGAAATGGTGGTGGTGGTGGGCGAGGTGGCGGTCATGAGAGTGGGGTGCCGAGGCCATATGGCGGTCGTGGCGGTCGTGGACGGGGAAGAAACAACGATAGGCAGGATTCTGGTTACGATCGTCCCAAGTGGGACTCTGGTGGCCGTGGTGGTGGCAACAACAACGATACCAGTAGCTGGGGCAGCTTTGCAGGCAACAGAGCTCAAAACTCACCTACCAGAGAATCAGGAGGCGGTGGTGGTGTTGGGTGGAGCTCTGGTGGTGGCGGTGGTGGAGGAAGCAGCAGCTGGGGCGGAGGAGGAAACAGTGCTCGTGACAGTTCCGGCTGGGGTGGGGCTACTGGTGGCGGTGGAGGTGATGATGGAAACTCAGGGTGGGCTAGTAGTTCGAGGGTGGGGTCAGCGCAGCCGCAATCGGACAGTGGATGGGGCAGCGGAGGCGGCAGCGGTTGGTGAAGAGACTGACAGGAGGCAAAATATGGTCGGCGGTTTCTAGTTAGAATGAAAGCAACTCTCCTGCGAACAGTAACTAAAATATGTGTAGAAAGAAGCTGCTCTTATATGCTACGGTTGACTGAACTGAACAGAGCCCTGAAGCCAAAATGTTTAGTCTATATTAGAGAAAAGCAGCTCTCTTGGCCTCTGGAAAATGCCATTTAGGAAGGAGTATATCTGGTCTTACATTTTAGTACGTAAATATTTTGTTTCAGTTTATAGTACAAACGAGCCGATTTTAGTTCAAGGGACAAACACAATGAACAAAATAGAGGTCGAAAGCTTGAAACAATATTACAGACGTGGAGTGTTCACAGAATATAATACATCAAATACAAGGGACTTGGAAGGAAGGCTATGGCTGCTGCCATTTCCCCCTTTCTTATTTCACACGCGTTCAACTCACTCGAAGCACTTCCATGGTAATACAACACTCGGTTTTTAAGTTCGAAAACACGTTTCGTATTAATCGACATAGAAAATAGTACAAGCCACAAACGAGATCCTTAAATTTCAGGACACACAGCACAGCACGCCCCAGAATCAACTACTGCCACACATGTATTCGGTACAGAGTACCGATGTTTTCGTCACAACCTTTAAGAAGAAAATCATTCTCAGCTGGTGCTGCATTTCATTCTCAGAGCTCTAACACCAGGTCTGCAAAGCAACAAAAAATATTGTTTGCCCATATGACTTTCCAGGGAAAAGAGCAATGAAATGGAAAATGGAGTTGATTAGATGATGATTGTTTTACACTGAGCATCTGTCTTGATCCAGCATTCCCTGCTCCCATTAGAGTCACAGTCATCGAGGGTGAACTCTGGCTCCGGGCGTATGTATCCCCTTCTCGTCTCCTCTCGATTAGCGGCACTGGCAGCTTCATTGCTGTTGTTGTTGTTGGGGGATCCCTTCTTCTTGTTCCTCTTATCTTTGTGCTTGTCGGATTTGTTTCCTGCCTTTCTAGCTGTTGCTGCTTGTCCAGTCTCTGTACTCTCAGGATGAACTTTCCTGTGGAACATGCGCATGATCTACAGAAAATGACCACACCAACATACATGTACATGTACGATATATGAGTCACCAAGAACATGCTTCTAAAAACACATTGTAATAAATTTGAATGGAACTTAATGAATTTCACCTGCTGATTCACTACTTCTACTTGTAATGATTTTGAACGAAGATTAAGAATTTCACCTTATGATCCATCTCAGCTACTTCTATTTAGAGTTATGACAGAAAAGAAGAAAAAAAAAACCAGAGCAGAACAACACCAACCTTATGCAGTTTCTTCTCCGCCGAACCATACTCAGCACTGGCGCCGCCAGAACCATCATCATCCGATTTCCTGGAACAAGCACGCATCAATTTCTTCATCATCATCTTCTTCAAAACCTGCACATGAAACTTCTCCCCTTCCTTCTCATTCTTCTTCTCTGCCCCCTCCCATTTCCCGCCATTCTCATCCTCACACATCTTGCTCCTCTGAAACAGCTCCCCAAGGGAAGTCCTGGTTTCCTTCTTCCTTCCAGCTTCGCCCATCAGTTTCTCTCCTTCCGCAGGAATCTCAACCGCAGACCCAAACAGATACCCCTGCAACGGGCAGACCCCATTGCTCACTCTGCCTTCCACCAAACCCTTCCCGCTCAGAGTAATGGTGCTCCCATGGCTGCTCCTCCCTCCACTCACGTGGCTGTTCCTGGCCGACGATTCCTCCGCTGCCAATACCTTCTCCAGCTCGTCGTTGATCAGCTGGAGCTCGTTCTCGGTTGCTTCCTGATCGGCTTCGTTCTCGGTTATGTTCTCGAGGGAGAATTCGAATGTTGGGGTTGATGGGTCGGTTGAACCCAGGGTTCCTATTGCTAGGAATCCATGGAAGAGGTCCTCGTAGTAGTGGTCCTGGTCTTGCTCCTCTTCTTCTTGTTCGTGTGGGAATCCCAGGTATGGCGATTTGTTGTTGAGTTTCTGGTGGGGGAAGGTTTCGTGGTCTTCCGTCGGTGGCTGCGATGTCAGGCAATTGTAGGCTTGCCCTAGAGAAAAACCAAAAACAGGGGAGAATGTTTATATGGTGAATGCTACTTTCGGTTTGGCGGGAACAAGTCTTTCGCTTTGACGAATAAGAAATGAGGAAAAGGGATGGAATCCATATGGAGAACGGATTGGAAGATGGTGTACCAATACAGAAATCTTTGACCGGCTCATTCTGCCGGAGCTTGCGGTGCATCCAACCAAGTAACTGAAATCGAAAGAAACAAGAGCAGAGGGCAGGGGAAGTCGAATTATGAAACCAAAGGAGCAATGTTTATCAATATGAATTGCACAGGACTACTTACCTTCATCTTTGGTTTGTTCTCCTATCTCTCTCTCTCTCTCTCTCTCTCTCTCTCTCTTTCTTAACTTGGCTCTGTCCAAATGTTCTGAGAACTTACAGCTTTGGCCTTTAAATGGAAGACCCAAAGACTGTTTGCAGAATGTGATGGATGTGTATCAAACTTTGCTAAAAGTGTGCTCTTGAGAGATGGAGGTTGGGAGGGGAAAAAACATTGAGATGGCTACAAATGATTTGGGTTGGCTACCCTTTTTGTCAAGTTCACATCACATGGCCAAATGGTTGGTGGGTCCTCGGAGATGATGAAACATTAGATGTTCTTTATGAATAGGGTGCAATATTTCAATTGAGTAATTGTTTGTATGATTTTGTTCTCTGGTTGGTTAAATTTTGATTTAGACAAATATATTGTATACAATAAATATCTAATTGTAAGTCACGATTAGCGTACTTCTTAAATATATCATAATTTAAGTGATTTGATTGTTGGATGTACTTCGACGAATCAAAATCGTCAATTTTTTTTTATGAACTTGATTTTCGAATTTGGGTTAAAGAATTGAGGCATGAAATTCCTCTATTATTAGTTACGATATAGTATCATTAAAAGAATATAGTCCATATTTCTTACTACTCACCGGTGAACATTGTTGCACCACGAGCTTTCGATTGAGATTGGGGAAATCAATTTAAAATATGATGAATTAGCCATCCTATGTCATCATCATGGGGAAAATTAATCTGCTAATTTGAAGATTCGTTAGCAGATACTAACTGATATCCAAAATACTTGAAATAATATCCAAGTACTAAAGTATCTAGAGATCACGGAATAGTATTCAAAGTTTGCTAACTGATATCCACCATGAATCAACTATTATCCCAAATTCACAAACTAATATATAAACAACACAGAATAGTATCCAAACAGCACATAATTAGTATCCAGATAACACATAAGAGTATCCAGATAACCCATAAGAGTATCCATATTGAATACTAGTTGGTTGATTGTGTATATTAATTGGTATCTGATATCTGGATACTAGTTTGTGATGTTTTGAATACTAGTCTGTGCTATATAGATACTTTGCAGACTTGGATATTAGTTCATACATTTTGAATATTAATTAGTATATACTAACGAATCTTCAAGTTAGCAGAATAACTAGACCGGTCATATCCATACCAGCTTTCCTTCCAACATGACATTAAGATTGCAGAATTATGACGATATCAAAGCAAATCCATGGACGAGAATGATACAACATCTATGATCTCAAAATTCCTAATCTTTGAATCTAGGTAACTCTTGATTAAATTTGTTTTTAATGCTTTGAATATGTTATCAAGTGGTATGACTAGGTGGTGTGGTTTCAGGGGGCTTAAACAGATTTTTTATTTCGATTCCTGAGCAAGACTTCGGTCCAAATGGTTTTATGAGTTTTGCATATTTGTATTTGATTTTGGATCTATGACACAGCACGAAATCGGTGCGTGTAGTTATTAAAGTTGCACAATCAAGAAGAGGAGTTATGATTAAGGATAAAATGGAATTGAAGTGCACTCTCACACCTAGGAGAACACTCTATCAATATACTATAGAAGTTCGACCACAGTCAATAGGAATACTCGATTGATACAAAACACGATTCACAAGTTAAAAGCTCAACGAAACAAGAATAAACTCAATAATCTTTAAAGTCTGCCCTAAACCTCGAGTCTAAGACTTTAAATAGGCCAAAGAAACAAAAACTACTAAAACCCCGATAAGAAAAAGAATTTTAAACATAAAAGGTAAGTTGAACCCGTCAGTGGCCGATCCCCGGTCTGTCCTTTTGTTCAACGGTCGTGGAAGTGACATCTGTGGCAAGGCCACTCTTCTATTCCAATCCCCAGGTATGTGTTGTTGATCCGCGGTCATTGATTTGGTGGTCGTGGCTGGAGTCCGAGGATTTTGTGCTCTTTGGCCCTCCTTGCTTCCACGAAGTGTGCTCTTCTCTAAGTTTCGACTAAATGATTTTGGGTCACTCTTGAGACTTGCATCAATTCATTTATTTCTATTTCGTTTAGGATTCTATAATTGATTTAGGAACCATTTTATAATCTCTAGTTTGTACTCTCTCGTCAAAATAATAATAAAAATTCTCCCTATGTGAAGATTTAAACAACATGTGTTGTCTCTTTTATTTGCTTTGTCGACTCTCTGTAATTAATTAATTAATAGCGCAAGTATTGTGCACTATTCCTGACGAAATTATCTCGACAATTTTACTGTTCATTGTGCTATGCTTTGCTGCGGCCGAACCCACCAAAACCATCGGTCCTCTTTTCCATTTCCTTGGAGTATTTTTTTAGCAACCATTATCCTGACCGTCCAAATCAGCGTGACATCAGCATCCCTCTGTCTCATGGAAAACCTTTTATCTTTTCCCCCATTAATCTTTAACGAACGATTTCTCTCTCGTTTTAAGTCGATATTTATTTATTTTTTTGCACAGACAAATCAGATTAATTGTGCTCTTTAAAATAATATCCACTTTGATATATTTTTAGAACAAAAAATTGAGGCATTGTTTACCAGTCACTACGATATGGTATTAAATAGGAGCATACCATATGGTAAGAAAGCGTACCATGATGGTATGAACATACCAAGATTGTAGGAAGGTTGAATACATGATAGTAGGAGTATACTAACTGTCATTTACGACTTTCATCATTGTTTACCACAAGTTACCACCCCATACCAATACCAGGGTGGTAAAGTAGGGTAATTTTTGGTCCTGTATTCTTTTCACCCAGAAATTTGTAGATCAAATAGATAATGATGAACTCGTTCTTTCTGAGCAAATACTTTCAAAACGACTTAAAATGAAGAAGTTACCATATGGTAAGGTATTGGTAACGGGAGGTATGAAAAATAATTTCTCAAAAAATATTGAAAATTGAAATCTGAGTTAGAGCGAAGAAGATAAGAGCCGATTAAGGAAATTAGGGAAAATAAAATGCCTTTAACTGACAACCCTTAGATCTGAATTTTCTAAGCCCACTTAAAATGGAAGGTCCAGATCTTGTTACTAACTGGAACTTAAGCTCTTTTATTCTTCTTGGAGCAATTTTTTTATCACCCATTATTGTCATAATCATCGAGTTCGCACTATCATTCAGCCAAGCAAACCGATAGACCGATAAGTAGCTTCAACGGTATAAAATAGTTGAATCACAGTTAAATCATGGTTTCAACATAGAATACTCTATATTGATTTTTTTTGGTATAAACTTTAGTACGATTTTACAATCCTTTATTTATAGAAGGATAGATATTTCTTATATGAATTTTTTGTTATAACCTAAAGTACAATTTAAAAATCTTTCACTCATAGAAGGATAGATATTTCCTATGTCTAAACAGACTAATATCCGCAATAGTATCAGTTTGAATGAACCAAATTTCTTTATTATTAACTTATTTGTTGACCATCTCATCAAATTGTTTTACACAAAGGTTCTGTAACGTAAAAAATAACTATCATTAGGTAAATTATATATACATTACGTAAAATTTATAGAGTGATAATTATCAATTAAGAAAACAAAATTTGTATGTCTTAGACCTAAAATTACCTTATTATTAACTAAATGATTAACCATCTCATCAATTTGTATAAAGCAAACTTTTTCAAAGTTAAGTTATTTTTTACATAGTATTTGTCACTTAACTAATTTATTATTAAAAAATGGCCTTCATTATTAACAAAATATCACCATCTTATCAATTTGAATTACACAAATGTTTCGTAAGATCAATTAAATTTTACATAACAGTTTAATCAAGTGTGCAATATTTTGTAACTAAATTTTATTATTAGACCACACATTACAGAAGATTTACTTAACAACCTTCTATAACAGTTATTAGAATTGAAAATATATAAAGTAAAACTTATGAACGGATAATTATTTATTATGTATCAATTAAAAAAACATATTACTAAATTCTATTATTAGACCACACATTACAAAAGATTTACTTAACAACCTATTATTATATTTATTTGAACTGCAAATGGTTTACTTAAAACTTATGGACAAATAATTATTTCTTATATATCAATTAAACAAATTTATTACATAATTCTATCATAATTATTAAGACACTAAGTAAAGCTTATAAAGGAATGTTAATTTCTTATGTCTCATTTAAACAAAAGTATTAAGTAAGTATGTCGTGATGATTAAGGTCATACGTAAAATTTATGGAGATATAGTTATTTCTTATGTATCAATTAAACAAACATATGACATAAATATTTTGTAATAATTAAGACATTACGTAAAACTTACGGGATATCTAACTTGAACGATGTTGTGAATTATTTAATTTTAATTTTATTATTAAATAAGTAAATAAATGTTTAAATATAATTATTTATTTACCATTATAAAAAAAAATTAGTGATTTACCGCTGCGAAGCGCATGTCAAAGAACCAGTAAACTTAACTCAAACACCAATGTTGTAGCTAGTTTGTGCACATTTCAATCTTAAAATTAGCAAGTGAAATTTTATTGGAGCGGCACTAACATATATATATATATATATATATATATATATATATATATATATATATATATATATATATATATATATATATGAGAGTAACGATATCATATGCATTCTTTTAGCATTTTCATTAAGTTAAATTTTGAAGAGAATTATTTTTTTGACATCTCGAGCAACAACTCCATTTTCTTAAGCAATATATCTAACAATTTATTTTTTCCTTTTTTCTTCTCCCTTGCTATAACAATGAGATATAGTTCATAACTTAGGTTGTATAATCAACTGTATAATCATGCATAATTATTTACTTACCATATAAGTATAGTTATTAACTTTCTCCCCAATAGATTTTATGAACTATATTTCTTTTGTTTTAAGTCGAAATTAAAAAAAACTGCACAAAAAAATTAGATTAATTGGCTTTTCAAAATAACATCCATTTTGATATATTTTTGGACAAAAAAAATCTATTACCAT